AAATTTGTTTAAATCTACATGATTTTTAAAGAAATTATGAAATTCTAAACTATATCCATATCAACTTCTGTAACTATTAATGACTGTAATGTTGTTATTGATAATTATGCTTTATATGGAATCCATACTTTCTATCGACGCATTTATTCTCAGCAAGCATAACATAAATTCAATTCTTTGTATCAATACTATTTTTTAGTCTAAGATTTTTAAAAAAATAATTAAAAGCATCAATCAAATGATAGTCTGTTGTAATTTTTTAAAGGTTTAATTTAACTTTTCACTAGTATCTTCTATAAGTAGCAGAAATATATTTCTTATGGTGCGATTGTTTCTATATTGCTTTAAAATTAATTCTTAAAAAATTCTTAAAAAACTTGAAAAACTTAACGGTTGATGCAGAATTATACCGTCGTTTTTTAAAATCTGTAACCGCATTTCAACAGAAGCAAGTACTAAGGGTATATACATTAGTTCTTTATTACACTATGCATTTCGGGTGTAAGATTTTTTATGTTACTTGCACCCCTCATCAGTAATATATTTATTTAACTTAATAAAATGAATTTAGAAAATTTTGTCGCCATTATATATATATATATTTGCAACATATTCTATAGCATCTTTGAATTCATCTCATCTCAAGAATTTTTAATTCTTTAAATTGCTCAGTCCATTGATTTAGATATTCACAACGTGTATCATAAAAATTAAATACATATTTTCTCATTCAATTTTTATGTCGATATTTTCAAGTTCTTCAACTTGATTTTTCCTGCAAAAATAAATTTTGTTTTCTAACTAATAATTATTTCTTAAGATTAATTATTGCAGATTTGATTTACAGAAAACTTGTCCCTTTCGATTTTTAGAATCGTTTTATAGAATGAACAAGTCTATAAGTTCATGTTTTTATGATAAACTTCAAGAAAGTTTATCATAAAAAACCGGGACAGATATTTGTCTGAAAAGCATTGACAGTGACACAGGAACATAATACTATAAAATGAGACGTCTGATAACCTTATATAACATGTATACATAATTTATAGTACTTTATAAAAAGATAATGCATATTGATTTTATAACAAATTCTATAGAGTAGTTATTTGTTATGTCTCTTGATTGATTTTTTCCCCGTTAATTTAGATAACAAGCCGTAAAAGAACAATGACGAGTAGAATATTCTTGTTTTAACGATAGCCCTATAAGCAATTTATTTACACTGATTATTGGGTTTGGCGATCGCTCGGTACGAAGAAAAGCTTCCGAAATTATTAAAATATAATTATATNAATATATATATATATATATATTAAGAAATTTATTATATATAAAACATTTAACTGTTTGATAGTTATAATGGGTTTACTTCGTTATATCATTTCTTGAAAAGAAGATTTAAGTGTTTTGCTATTATTTCTATTTTAAAATCTTTATGGTGCTATTTTGTCACACTGATTCATATTATTACCACCACAAACTTTCTAATGTTTAAATGTATTTAAAAAGTCAAATTTTTTTGATTTTAGTAGCCTATAAGAAGTACTTGTAAACATGAAAACAATATTAACAATTTTCAAATATTTGAGTAACTGAATCTCACCAATGGATCGAACATTAAAAAAAAATAGTTTTTATATTATGGAATTTTTTAGCTCCGTCCCGTAGATTCAATTAAAGAAGATCAAAAATTATGCAGGTCTATAAAGAGGCAGAAATCTTTTTGTAATTGGGAGCTGAGTTAAGAAAAAATAAAGACACAATTTTTAAGAACAGTAATTATATTTTCAAATGATAAAAATAGGATATTTAATGATTTTTATTGACATATTTCTTATTTAAAGATTCTAGAAACACAAACTTGTCTTCTCAGCAAATTCATTCAAATTTGGAATATTTAGTACTTGGTATTTCTTAATTTCTGCACAGCTTTCAAACTTCGTGCGTTAGTCGCCCGACATTATTTTTTATATAATTCGTTAAAAAAAAGTAAATAATATAATAATAAATTATCAAAAATTAAAAAAAAGTTTTCATATTTTAATTAAGGAACACATTTTTTTTTTAATCATGCCAGCTTACAACTTCTAGTCTAAGAAAAACATTCTAAGTTTTTAATTAGCAAATAAGCTAATTAACAGGCTTATAATAAAAAATAAAACGAACCATTTTGTTAGTAAACCAGTGTTTTATATTGTTAGAAAGTTACATTAGTTAATTGAGGAAATGAAACAAAAAATGTATTGATTCGGAATAATTCCTCAAAATAATTTTAAATTTAAAAATTAAAATTTATAACTGCGAAATTTTTCAAGCATTTAGTATTATTCGTTATTTATTTTAAACTTACTTGTTGGTCTGTATATGTTTAATATATTCTATCCTTTCTTGTATCATAAATGAAAAATTAATTTTTGTAAATAAGTTTTTGTGTAGTTCTCTATTAAACTTCTTTAAAATCTTTAGCTTATGAACAAATCTGAAAATAAGGCTAGTTTTGTTCATGAGCAAAGATTTAAAGTAATAATAAAATAATGAAGAGAAGTGATACCACATTTCATACAAGATCAACATTTGCTCATCACTAATCAAGAGTGAATATTACAATCGAAAATGAATATGCGTGAGTGATGAAGAATGTTGTCCATTTGATGAAAATAACAAAACTTATAAAACATTTGATTCGGGCGTAGTGGGCTTTGTCGTTCTATGAAAAGAGTAATATCTGAAACAAGCCGATATTGCTATCTCCGACGATGCGTGGCCATCACGTTCAATGCTTTTATTGCCGACTTCAATGCAATATGAGCTAGATGCTTTGAACATAATACGCTCATAAATTATTCTTTAGTACGATACATAATAAAGATTTTACTTGTACAAATTGAATTACAGTCTTCGTTTATAACAGGAATGTTAAACGTTTCGTGTCTCATTATCATCGTAAACACGTCAATGAGAGACTGTTCATGATGGTTATTAAAAAAGTCTGAAAAACTGAGGGAGAAAAATAATGAAAAAATGGATTTTTTTATGCACTAAATATAAGTACAGTAACATCAAAGTGGAATATCTCTATAAACACACGACTTTTGGAACACGACTGCTTAAATCTTAATCTATAAAACGCTATTTCTATTATATAGTATTTTTATATTTAGGCTGTTATCATTGTGCTGTTATCATCGTTATTATATATTATAAACGCGTTAAATTAGCATAATATAAATTATGTTAAGTATTATATATAAGTGTGCAGCATTAATATTATATGTTTACAGATGTTTAATGTAAAACTAGAAGGATAATTCCATAATATATTTTAGTNTCTTTTCTAAACCATTTTTAATTTAAATTTTAAATTATTTTAAATTATGAAATATATTGTTTTCCAACGAGCATTCAGCCTATCGGCGTGTCGAAGTAAAAAAAAGCATTCTTTAGACAGACTTGCATTAATTACAAAAAAACTTCTTAAATTATATAAACAGCAAGAAATCTTTTTTATTTTTTGAGATTTAGTAGAGATTTATAAGATCATAAAATTATATTAACGTAAGTAAATTAAATTCGCTACGTAGATTACAAATAAGTGCAATTTCTCTTCATTACAATTCTATTATTTTGTTTGAAATAGAAAGGATAATTGTTATTTTGTAAAAAATTACTAGTCTACATTATTTACTTACAATTTAATCTATACTTATAATTCTACATTTCTATGTGATCCTTTATAAACTTAAAAAAGAATAGCTTATACAATACCAATTTTATTTGCTTTCTACTCAAACTATTTCTTTTGAGCTTCAAGAAAATAGAGCTTTCTTTGAAGTTATGTAATAGCTAGACTGAAAATAAAAGTTTATATTAATAGTTTGGACTGGATTAATTAATACCGATCAAAATCAAGTATAGCTTTTTGTTGTCGAAAAAAACAGCAAGAGAAAGATCTCTTTACGGACCGTAAAGCATGGAGCATTCCCAATTTACGATGGTCATAATGCACTAGCCATTACCAGCCAATCTACGGAGATGATGATTTGTTAGTCTTGTTATCTGAATGTTCTAATCTCACAATACAGTCACCTATTAAAGAGCCATAAAATTATTTCTTTTGTGCAAGGAAACGTCAATAGAGAACATTTATGTTCTCTTCTGATTTTGTGGTTTATTTCGACAAAGTGAAAGTGATAAAGTCTTTCTTTCATCGAATTTACAGCTTAAGAATCAATTTAAGATCGTTACTAATTCTTTTGGTGACATTATCGATCAATTCCACTAAGCATTAAACTTTCTGAAATTAATTTCTTTAAAAACATTTAGTGTTTTATACGCAGTTATAAACGTTATAATGATATTATAACGATGTCATAAATTCAGTTAACAAATTTTCAAGTGGATAATATTCTACACTGATAAGAAATTAAAATTTAAACCAACAATATTATATATTAAGAATATTTTCTCTATTGGTTTATATATGTGTGTAGCCTACACACTCCGTTTTAGAATATATTAATTAATCTTATAAAATATGCGAGGATTCGCATTAAGTTCGACCTCTCTTAATCCAATCTCTCATTGTTTTTCAAGGAACAATAATTGATGAAATTCAATCTTTGGTATTTGAATGATAAAATAAGATTGAGATACTAAATCAATTTGTCTAGTTCAAGGTTACAATCAGCTTAGTATAGTAAATAAGAATGTAAGACGCTTTTATATTATATTATGTTTCTTTTTCTATTTTCGAGTATAATTTAGATTATTAAATATATCAGATTTTTAAATCTTTTTTACTTTTGTTAGGATTTATTACGTCAATTCTTTGTAAATAACGGGGAAGATCGTAACAGTTTCATTGTTCTTCTGTTGAAATTTAAAAGGTGTTTTCGATCAACTAATGTCTGGATGTTCCGGGTTATTTTTTTTTATTATGTTATATCACTTTACACTCGTAGTACATGACGCATCTTAACACCAAAATGCTTCCGATTGACGTAAAATTTATTGTAAATTTGTTCAACATATCTTGAAGCCATCACTTGTCATTTATTTTTATTATCGGGGGACGATTTATATGCAGAATCGGTCATTTAAAAGTGAAATGCGTTTGTCGTCTTGGATAAAAGTTGCCATCCATCAAGCTACATATCAATTTATGCTCGTCAGGTCTCCTACCGTTGTATCATTACACGAATGTTTTCTTTCGATAACTTTGCATTTATCGTATGTGTTTAATATATTGTTTAGTGCCATCTGTCTTGGATAAATATAGGTAAGTAACTAGATCCATTATTGTGATTTGTTTTCTTTTTATATCTTGCAAATCCTTTTCACTAACGATATTTACGAAAGCGAGATGTTTGAGTTATATTAAACATAATTTTACTAAATATAAAGATATAATAAACACCGAAAGCATAATATAATTCACTTATAATTCGGTATCGGATTAAAGCTTTATCTGAAAGAACTCTCTAAATACTTTTATAAATATTTCCGATTGATTTAATCTGTGAATAGTTCTCGTGCGAAGTAAATACATAGAATACAGTGAATGATTCGTAATAAAATTCGAAATAAAATTCGGCTTATTCTAAGTTATTAAATATTTTATTACTTTTCTAAATTTACTTAGTATTAAATGAAATATTTTACATTGTTTAGGTTCAAATTAAACCTAGTTTCTTCATAAAATAAATGATATGGTATAGGAGAATAATTAGAATTCTTACTGCTAGAGAACGAAACAGCGTAGACTTTGTTATTAGCTTTTACATGCATCGTGAAAATTTGAAATAATTTAAATTAAATATTTGATACTGAAAATTACGTAAAAATCTCAGTGTGGTATGCTTTTTAAAATTATATAACGAAATTTTTAAGAATAGTAACTAGTTGTTTGACGTTACGATAACAATGAAATTAGTTATTTTTACGTAAAAATTTATATTTTTGTGATTAATTTCACTAAAATTCCATCCTATCCGCCATCACATTTGTTTTTGCAATCCATCCCAATATTTTATGCTTTGTCATTTATTATAATGAGGTTATCAATATTCTTTCGCTATTAGATATACAGTATAGACGAAATAAAATTATATTTTTAACTTAAATTTAAATATTATTCTTTAGTATAAGGGATAATAGAATTTAGATAAATATTTATTTTAATAAACATTTTTAAAATTTTAATATTTAAGAACAATGTATTAAAACCAGCTTTTATAGAATAAAAAATGTAATTATAAATTATTAAAATTATTTTAAAATTTTTAAATTAAATTTTAAAATAAAAATTAAATGATATTTCTGTATTTTTCTGATATATTTGTATAATTTTATATATGTTTAAAGAAATTTTCTTAAGTTGTAAATATGAAGAGTCACTATTTTCTTTTGTTCGAGAATTTTATTGACACAATTTCCGGTTATGAAACATTGTATACTGCATTTATTTTAAAACAATAAAATTCCAAAGCCTATAAACCATTTCATTTTAGGTTATTTATTGTTACTTATTCGAAACTATACACAAAAAAAGAAATTTCATTGCGCTTTCTCTCTAAATGCCAAGTTTCGCAGGCTTACAAAAAGAGAAATTGTATGAGTTGTATACACTAAAATTAAATTCAAGATATATTTTATATTAAAATTTGATAGTTATAGTTTGGAGTTATATAGAAAATTATATATTTATATTTTTGGTTTAAGATTCGCTTTATTGATGTTAATAACATATAAATAAACATGAAAACTAGCTAAAATTAGAGATGCAATCAATATACAAATAGGCTGAGTTCATTGATCACAGAAAATTACTAAATAGTCTAAATTATGTAATTTCGGGTATTTACCTAAATGCAGTACATCTTTATAAATATGAATTGGGAGCAAATAATTAAATCGTTTGTTAAGTTAAAAAAAAAAAAAACTAGGATAGAATAGTAATTTTGATTACGTGTATTCTTAATCTTATTATTATTTATTGATAAATTGCCTAATAATAAATTTATATGAATTTTATATTATCAGAGTAGTCTTTATAATATCATTTTCCCCTATACATTGTAGAAAAATAATTTTATAAAATTTTTAAAATTGTTTTATTGTAATTAAAACTATTTTACAAAAGGATTTAATTACAATAAAATCCTTGCCACATACTTAAATAAAAAAGAAATTAGTTTATATAGGCCTATACATCTAATACTTTTTAAGTTCAAAGAAATAAAATGAATCTTATCCATTTTTAAATTATAAACATTTAGTAATTTAATTTTAAAAATTTTAAGAATTTATGAATTGACGTTGTAATTATCCTATTTTTTGTTAAGGAAAATTAATAATTAATATCAAAATGAAACTCAGTATTTATTTATACAGATTTAATCAATAACTTTAATTAAATCATATAAAAACTAGTTGCAAATAAACAAATATTGATTAAGCTGCCACTAATAGCAAATATAATTTTAATTTCGATAAAAAAGAATATTAGGATGACATTATTGCTAAGTCTAAATTAATCAGATGTCTTTCAATTCATTTTATTTAAACTTGCAATTCTTTTCTAGTCTTAATATCAATAGTATTTAATTTTCTTAAACTATTTTTATCCTTTTATATTCATGTTATTATTATATCTACAATATATTGAATATTTCTCTTTGATACATTATAAATAAATAAACCATACATAACTTATCTAAATACTCTAAAAAAGCAATAATGAACTAAAAATACAGTAGTCATATATATATAATAAAACATATTAAATATGTATAAATTCAATAGTTAATGAATCAAGATATAATTCTAGACAACTTTATTTTTGAAAATATCAATGATTAGATCAATATACAAAAAAAATTAAGCCTGGAAAGTGACTATAGAATATAAAATAGACGGTTTTAAAAAACTTTTATTTATAATAAATAGATAAAGATTTTTTCGTCAATGATAATTTCTTTAGCAGAGAAAAGTTTATGCAGTAATTTTAAAAACCGGCAAGCAAATTCATTATTTTAATTAGAACAACTGCAAAAAATCCAGTTTAAAAATGTCAAACTCATTTATTTTAAAAACAAAATTTCGAATAAGGAGACAAAAAAAAATTTTAAGAAATCTTGCTTTAAAATCTTTTTAATCAGAAATATAAGTTTAAATAATAAAAGGATAAATGTTAGTCAATAGATTAAAGCAAGTGATACAATAGATTAGAAGGCTTTTAGCTTTTACTTTCAAAATAATAAATTTCAATTTATGTTTTCAGTTGTGTTTTCAATTTTAGAACTTTTATCCTAAAATTGAAAACACAACTGAAAATATTTTGAAAAATTAATAACCGATTTTTCTCTTACAGTAGAAATCACAGCAAACGATGAAAATTTACGAAGAAAATGCCAGAAAGTAATTTCTTATAGAAACAACAACAACAAAAAAAATTAAAATAAAATATTTCTGTCCTATTTTAAATACATGGTTCAAAAATCATAATACAAATAAAAATATTCGAATAAATAATTTGTAATAACTTTAACATATTGCGTCCTAAATAAATATTAAAAGTCCAAAATTAAATTTTATTTACTGCTTATGATCTGGATTATCTTAATTATACTAATATAAGCATATCATCTTTTATAAAGTAATTTGTTTATATAACNGGAAGTGACTTACGCAGAGACGAGTTAACGTAACAACTATTTAATTGGTAACTACAGGCCATACAGGATATACAATATATATATAGAGAGAGTTTACAGTAAATACACGTGGCGATAAATATCTTGAGTTTTAGTGATTCGCTAGTAGGTCTTGAGGCTCTTGACGAAGCGTCCAGTTAGGCAATCAAGTATTTTCCAGATAAGTCCAGATAATAGGCACTTAATAAGTCCGATGGACGACAAACTTAATCCAGTGAAAAGCACAACGCACACGGAAAAAGATACGGAGCTTCAGACGGATCTCTTCTAGGACTGGGCGACGACTGCCGCACTTTGTTGTTCTGTTGTAGATATTGTACTATTGAAATCGAAATATTAGGTCGAGAGGTGATGAGAAAGCGTTGTTGTCAGGCTTGAGAACTTAACATATGTTTTGCTCCCAGGTGCGAAAGTTGACAGTTATTTAACGAAAGTATAACTACGATAACCTAAACTCCGAGAACAATGTGTTAAACAGAGATTTTCATTGGCAAGCGCAAATGCCTCGAAATCAATAATCACTCGCATTAAAATAATAATAAGTAATTACCTTCAAATTTATGTATATGTTAATAAGTCAATGAACTTTACTAAATCTCTAAAAGACATATTTTATATATCTACACAGTTGTCTAAATAGTGGTTCATTACATCGAATTTTACCACCTCTTTAATTTTATTTTTATATATTTTGATCTCAAACTTGTGCATTTTTGAAGATTTACTTTTATCTAGAATTAGGTCTAAGTCAAATCTTTTGTCAAAGACGAACTTTTAAATAAAAATACTTTCTGAAGACGGTGCTCTTGTATAAGAGGTTCTTGCAAAAGAAGTTCTCGGCGAGTATCGAATCAGTCTCTCATATTATCTCTTGACTCAAAAACAGAGGAAAAATGATATTTCAGTGAGGTATCGAATCAGTCTCTTAATAAATATATATATATATATATATATTAAGAAATTTATTATATATAAAACATTTAACTGTTTGATAGTTATAATGGGTTTACTTCGTTATATCATTTCTTGAAAAGAAGATTTAAGTGTTTTGCTATTATTTCTATTTTAAAATCTTTATGGTGCTATTTTGTCACACTGATTCATATTATTACCACCACAAACTTTCTAATGTTTAAATGTATTTAAAAAGTCAAATTTTTTTGATTTTAGTAGCCTATAAGAAGTACTTGTAAACATGAAAACAATATTAACAATTTTCAAATATTTGAGTAACTGAATCTCACCAATGGATCGAACATTAAAAAAAAATAGTTTTTATATTATGGAATTTTTTAGCTCCGTCCCGTAGATTCAATTAAAGAAGATCAAAAATTATGCAGGTCTATAAAGAGGCAGAAATCTTTTTGTAATTGGGAGCTGAGTTAAGAAAAAATAAAGACACAATTTTTAAGAACAGTAATTATATTTTCAAATGATAAAAATAGGATATTTAATGATTTTTATTGACATATTTCTTATTTAAAGATTCTAGAAACACAAACTTGTCTTCTCAGCAAATTCATTCAAATTTGGAATATTTAGTACTTGGTATTTCTTAATTTCT